CGGTATCTCCTTTGGCGTTGACAGGATTTTCTCTATCACCAAGGCCAAGATGGCCGCTGAGAAGAATGCTGCTGTGCGTAACAATGATGTCGATGTTTATGTCATGGCCTTTGGTCAGGGATATCTAAAAGAACGCATGTCAGTGTGCGCCAAGCTATGGGAGTCTGGAATCAAGGTTAGTTAAGCATTTTACCACGAACCTTACTATTCCACGGAACAGAGGACTAACTGTGCTATCACAGGCAGAGTTCCTTTACAAAGTTAAGCCTAAGCTACCCGCACAGTTCAAGGCTGCCGAGGCCAATGGTGTGCCATTTGCTATCTTCCTCGGCGAAGATGAAGTCAAGTCAGGCAAGGTCAAGATTAAGGAGATGGGACTCCAAGAAGGCCATCCCGAGAAGGAGGGTATTCTTGTCAGTATGTCCGACATGGCCAAGGAGATCAAGGTTCGGCTTCAACGCAAGCGGGAGCTTGACGAGATGACCAGGCAAGCCGAGGGCCTGAGGGTTGTCCATGGTATCAAGGGCGATGAGGTAAAGGATGCGGAGAAAGAAGTTGTGGATGCCAACCCTGAAACCACACCAGCAGCAGTCGAAGCGACTCCAGGAACGGAAGAGCCAGCTCACAGCAATCCGACAGCATGAGTTCTTGGTGACAAACCTCAATAAACAGTTAAAACGATGGCCGTGGCGTTAAGTCTTAATAGAAGAGACGATCATCTCACGAAGTCACTGCTCACATGAATGGATGATTCCATTTATTGCCAATCATGGGTATCAATGTTGGGGAAACACGTTGTTCCGTAAAGCCAATCGTAGTCGCCTGTTTTTCTGTTTCCCCTTTGCCTAACGCAGCCACGTTTGTTCCTCTCTACAACAAACATTATGACAACCAGGTGCTTCCGATCGACACGGTGGTGCTCTAGGGGCCTACTGTCTGTTGAAAAGCATCCAGCCTCCAACGCTGGGGCTTCTGAGAACGTTATCACGAACGGGCGACAATGGAGACTGCGCACATTTCGTGAGCAAAGAGGTAACCCTCCATTTACGGAATGAATTGGAAGTCAGGCCGCGACCAATCCCTCCCCGCTTACGGCTCCAGCCGACGTTCTCGAGCAGAGAGGCTTGGATGGCGACCCCGAAGTTGAAACAAAGACGAACACAGGACTGGAGAGACTACCATAAGGGGACAAGTCTAGGGAGCCCTATTCTGCCAGAGACGCAGGTCCCGAGTCGCACGCATCCAGGATGTGGCGGATCCATAGCCGCATCCGCAAGTGACCATTGCATCAGGCGAACCTGCAGTCGCAACCGTCGTCAATCAAGTCGAGAGGGGGCTCTAAATTTCTGTTGCTACCTGATGGCCACCCCTGCATCAGAAGGGGAACTCTGAAGTTTGGTTTAAGTGCCTATTTAGACGGCCTCAGGATCCCGACCTTCTGGAACTGAGACACTGGCGTTTGTCGTTCACGCCATAAGGCCGACAAAGCCGAATCGAGTGACTGCAAGTGCAGTTCGACTGTGTGCATTTTTGCTCTGTGTTGCGTGATAATGTTTCATTCATATCCCCCTATTTGCATCATCTTTTCCACCTGTCCCGTCTATGGAGGAGTATGGTGCTTCCTTGAAGATATGTTTCTTTTCCTGGCCAACCTATCAGCCCAAGTAAGACTACATACTAGGTTGGGAGGGAGAAAAGAGCGAAGCAGGAGTGACGACGGCGCGACAAGAGACGGCCCGGTGGGTCCCCTAGGCCGGACCACGGAAGGGTCTGAGGCTCGCGCAGCCGGCGCGGCACCGCCATCCCCAGTTTGGCCTGACTGGTTCCCACAAGATCGTGGGACCACTCTGCTCTTTTTGCTGAGTTTTCCTCATTACTCAGTAGTAGGGATAGGAAATAAGAGTATGGAAAGACCCTTGGAGTGGTGCAATGCCAGCTGGACACGAACCATGCAGTCAGGGCGTGGCCCAACACACGAGTAGCTGAACAGGGTCTCAAGAACAAGAACAATCCTTCTCTTCAAACAAGGGCGAGGGCTGATATTGAGGTTGAACCTGTCATCCCCGGATCGTGTGTGTTATGTGAGCCCATGTCGAGTTGTGCTTATACATATCTATCTGTGTTAGTGTCTGTTGGCCCGAGGACCGACGTGTGACAGACACTCTTGGCCGTCACTGTCCACTTTGAGCCGATTTCGCTACCCTTTGTTCTCTGATGCCATGCTATTTGCACTCTGCCGGGACCTCGATCTTTCGTAGTGTCTGACCAAAAACGACTCAACGGCATCATCGTTCTCAGAACTCTTTCGAAACCGCCTGGCAACCAGCGAAGAGCTCCGCTGACACAAAGGACGAGACCCAGCCCAGCAATGATCTTCATTGCCCAGAGATCGGTATTCCCGACGACAGAGTAGTATCGACGCTATAATATTTGATTTGTGCTTGTCACCTGGACAACTTTGGCACTGGCGAGATGGTTCATCGATGTGGCGTTTATATGCTCAACACCAACCGCTTTCGGATATCTTGAATTCCAGTCCATCTCTTAACTACCCGCAACCTCCATCATCGCACGGTTTTCAGTATTTTCGACTTGTTTTCGTCTTCTAACGTGAAGGTGCTCCTCATACAGCCCCAGAGGCTTTGATCTTTGCCTTTGCTATCTCGACGAGTAGTCAAGAATTCGCTGTGCAGCTCTTACAATACTGGGGCTCTCACTTACACCTCGTTTCACTGAACTATTTTCTCGATACCTTTGTTGTCTTACCAATCAATTTATGGGACGACTCAGAATTGTCTCTCTTTGCCCCTACCTGCCAGGGGAGACTATCAAAGACACTTTCACGTCACAAAACCTTTAGTGCCCTGTCATACTTGGGCCCCAGTTCGCACACACTCATGAGACTGACCACGAGGAGCTGAGCTGATAAGGCACCATTTTGGTAACAAAATATTGGCATATTGGCCACACAAACCTTGGCCACGCCACGCGCCGCCGCCGCTCTCAGTCCGGACTCTTATATTGTAACGCCCCCAGAACAGCCCCCCATCCATTCTGCCTCTAGACCACGACCATAACCCAAGACACGAGCCTTCGGGCTACCTTGACTGAAGAATATCACTTGTCACCATGGCTGCTTTGCTGCCTCAACCAATTCATACAGCCACTTCGTCGCCTTGGCCTTCACGAACATCATCACTATCCATGTCGCCACGGATGGAGACATGCCGTGCTTCAGTCACAGAGACTAACTCACCGGAATGGCTTCCTCAGGCTCTGTCAGAGACTCTGCACGTTCTGCCTTACACTTCCACCGAGTGGGCGAAGGTGATTTCGGATGTCAAGAGAGAATATCTTAACCGCCGTTATCGTCCCTGTGCAACCCGCTGCAGTGAAATCCTGGACAATCTCAAAGACTTTGTAAGTTATCCTTTATTAACAATGGTAAAACAATTCTAATGAGAACCAGAGCATTGTTGAGCCAGCATATCTCATATATCTTCACTTTTACGCAGCCAACTCACAAGAGATGCTTGCTCGTGCACTTCATCAAGCCGCCCCAGCACGAAACACACTCCTCAACCAGGCCCGTGACCATTATCAACGTGCCTCAACACTCATCAATGCTGCAGATTCAACCGTTGGTCCAGCCTTACTGAGAAGACCGTCTGGCACCACTACAACATTGCCAAGCCTCCACTCTGCCGATAGCTCTGTGAGCTCCTATGTATCGTCAACATGGACCTCGTCTCACAGTGTATCTCCGGCATCATCTATCTCATCGATCCAAAGCGTGCCCACTTCTAAGCGTAAGAAGAAGCGAGTGACTTTCAGCGACGTGCCTGTTGAGCTTCTTGAACGTCCGGACTCACCAACGCTTGGCCTAGGCAGCTTTTTAGGGCCTGCTCGTTCAACATCCCCAGAAATTTCTGGGGTGGATTCATCTGCCGTACCAGCACCTCTTCGGTCATTGACTCAGGCGCCTCGGTCAATACTCACTCCACGCTCAGCGCAAAACGACGTCTCCCCTTCTACAGACGCAGAGCTTGATCCCTTCCGCCATGCTCGCTCTGTTCACCGCTACAGTGCCCTCCTAACGAGCCTGCAGCGCCAGGTCTTTCGACACCTCAACTTCATCGAGACAGAGCTCGGCCAACAGCACACTACCCCCCCGTATGAAGATACACCTCCATCGCCTACCACTGTGAACACGGTCACTTCTGCGTCCGCTACACCCAACGCTGACAAGACGCGTTCACCGGAGCTACAGGCACGGATAGAGCGACTCCGCGCACAAGGCTGGGAACGCAAGCGATTCGACGCGCGTCGGTATGCCGAACTTCGCGAGAGTGCTTCGGCCGACATGAACGACTAAACTCTACTCATTTCAGTCGCTAATCGGCTACCTTTGCCGGCCCAATGTTTATGAGAATGAAAGTGGAGGATGCTCCTTTCATCGTATGTATGCTTATGAGATTCAATGATATCACGAGGAGAGATCACGCAGCAGGTTCCAAGGATACGCTTGACGCGTGGCCCGGGATTGATTAATGACCGTCATTTGTATTAGCACACCAAAGACTGGATCTTTAGCTTGTTAGGATAGAAAAGCCAGGGGAAGATCACACAAGATTGTTGGTCAACTGGGAAGCTGCCGAATATAGAGCATTTATCTACTCTGCACTATGATCTGAGAGAAGAACACGAAATTCATTTGGGTTATAACTTATCGGAGGCATTCAACTCCTACCTGTTTTTTTTTTTAGACCCAAAGAATCTTTCCGAAGCCAAAAAAACAACGCTTTCAACCCAAGGAGTCGCAACACTCTCTGCGACCACTTCCGACTCATCTTTTCCATCTGTGTTATTGCCCTTCCTTCGCGCATCAAGCGAGGACTTAGCCTGCCACCCATCTCGGCGTCATGCCAAGGTCGCCCACCGAGATGCGGTCCAATATATGTGAACATGTCTGCAATTGATTGGGATCCTCAATGTATTTATCAAGCCTGGAAACTTCGACGCTTGGCATCTTTTTCGACCTCTTGAGTGACACGGAGAACCTCTTTCTCCTCCTTGTCGTCGGCGAGCTTTGCTCTGGCGACCTCGGAGAAGATAGCTGAAAGATCCGAGTTCTCCGGGTCCTCCTCCATAGCCTTGAGCTTCTCGATACGTGCTTGGAGCTTGATCTTCTCAATGATGCGCCTGAATCGGCTTCTGGCGCGGAAAGACTTGATCTCGGGCAACAAGTTGTAATCGCTAGCGTTCTTTCCGGTGAGCCAGATATGACCCAAAGCTTCCTGTATCGCGGAGTTAGCTCAAGGATTTCCCATCGTGACGACGGTGATATTCTACCTCGCTGGTCCAACGCTGATCAGCATCTGGGTTGATCAGATGCAAGATGAAGTCTTTTGCATCGTTGCTGACGTCCTTCCAGTATCGCTCGTGGAAGACAACCGAGTTCTCAGTGCACTCCCGGATAAGGTCCTGGAGGTTCTCACTGCGGAAAGGCGAGTAACCGCAGAGCAAAGTGTAAGTGATGACACCCATGGACCACATATCCACAGGCTTTCCATGGCCTTCCTTGCGCATCACCTCGGGGGCAGCATAACCGAAAGAGCCAGCCATGGTCTTGAGAGACTCGCCCTTTCCGTCGAGCATCTTGGCAATACCGAAGTCGGCCAAGACGAGGTCAGAATCGGGATCTTTGCTGAGGTAAAGGAGGTTCTCGGGCTTGAGATCTAAAAACCGGTTCAGTTGGTGTCCTGAGATGGGCCGTTGCAGCACTGTACCTCTGTGAACAATGTTGTTCTTATGAAGAAAATCGACAGCAAGTAGGATTTGCTTAATAGTCTCAGCGGCATCCTTCTCAGTGAACTTGCCCTGCTCGCAAATGCGATCAAAGAGCTCGCCGCCGGTAGCAAGCTGTGTCACGATATAAAACTTGTCCTGAAGACGCGAAAAAGGTGAGCATCATGGCATGTGGGAAATGGAGAGGGAGGGTAGTGAACTGGGCCAGTATTCCAAGAACCTGACCTGAGCGGGGATCGGGATGGAGAATTGGGGTTGGATGAGCTTACTCTCGACTCGAACCAGTCAACAAACTTGACAATGTGAGGATGCTTGAGTTTCTGAAGCATCTCGAGCTCGTCATAGACCATCTGTTCGTTTCCCTTTACATTTCGTTTGAGAATTATCTTGACGGCAACCTTGCCAGTTGGGCCATCAGCCTCCCGCACGACTCCATATGTTCCAGCTCCGAGTGTTCGACCAAACCTGTACTTAGCTCTACAGTAGAAAGCATTTGTTAGGATTCATGGGATTTGTGATCGAGGTCAGGGGATTTCGGGCGCACTTCTTATCGTAGCTCTCGGGTTGGCCATGAAGCCTATTCAGCATGCCGGCGACTACACAAAACGACCGCGGTCAGCGTATAATTCATGGTGGCGCAAAGGCAGCAGGACGGGCTCTTGAAAGTACAACACCAGACGCAAAGGTCAACCCGCCAGAGCGGGGAGGGGAACAAGGCTGTGAATAGTCGCAACTTACAACTCATGGCGGCAGTTTTGGCGGGGTAGAAAGCGACCCGTTTGGGTTTTGGGGATGGTAAGCTGGAGGGGAAACGAAGATAAGAACGAGTCTGGCCTTTTGCTGGTAAGACGAGACGGACGATCTGTACCCGCACGACAATTCGGTCTCGCAAAGAATGTTAAAGTAAGCCTGAGAGGATGAAGCCTCTGGGACAACGAGAGTTATGTAAGAAGAAGAGAAAGTAGGCGACGGCGATGGACAGGACGAGGAGGAGGTCCTTGTTAATTTAGTACCTACCTAAGCTTGCGACACCAACCTAGGTACTAATTTTGGTAGCTACGGGACCCTCCACTGACGACTGACGGGCTAGACGGGCTAGACGGGGCAGACCTGGGGGGGGCCCTGGGGCTGTCAACATGCCCGAGCAGAGAGCTCCGTATGCCACCTTTGGGGGACTTTAGCACTTAGGCACTCCACTAGCGGGGTGCCACCATGAATGGCTATGGTTGGTTGCAGGTGAAGGAGTGTGGCTCAGGCATTTGCGATCCCTGGGCTGAAGGCATCTCCGGATCCATCTGATGGATGCTGACAGGGAAGAAACCGCACCTGCAATACCGGTAATTGCAGGTGAGGCTGAGTCTTTGTGGATCATGATATATCCATCTCTGGAAGCAATCGTCGAGTTTTCGCTTAGGTCCGTGGCTGAGCAGAACAAAACCACCTGCAGTAGGGGAGTATCATCGTGATTGATTGCTTCCATCCTTTCCAAGCTGGACAGGTTGCCTCTCAATGCACCCAGCCCTATGAGGCTGCTTACGAGCGTTGTTCCATTGGCACTTCAAAGGTTACTATGCCTTGCGTGCTGTTAGCGTTCACACGCCCGGAAATATGGAGGCCTCAGTAAGTTAGCGGATGGTATCAGGGTATTCAGAACCGTCAACTTGATCGTCTCGCCTCGAAGCTAAAGATCATCAAATTTCATACACAACTTGCTGGCTGGCCATCCATTTGGGTAGCGAAAGAAAGCGACTGGATAGGTAGGGTCATATCTTATCTGAGTGATCAGCCGTAAGCTAAAGGCACCAGCGATTAGCTGCTCACTGTAAGCTGAACACATAATGGATGTCTTTTATGGCTAACAAAATATGTGGTATGAATAAAAGACGCAACATTGTTGGGATCATCCGTGGCACATACATAATACATATGGAAATCTCTCAATTGAATTCTATTTATTAACCTGGGCTGGACGGTACAGTCAAAACCGGTGCGTCGGCTTACGTGGTACCAAGGTCTACTGTACAGAGACCAGGCCAAGGTCAAACAACCGAAAGCAGAGTTAATAATATGACAGGGAGAGGCTAGTGATAGCTGAAGAATAAATCCTCGATCTGCACTCCAATACATAGGTAGCTTCATGTCTTACTCAGATACTAATGAGACAAGTCGATCGAGTAAAGAAAATCATGGCATAGCCGTATAAGTTCACCCAATAGCACAACACGAATCAATTTATGGGCCTAGCTCAGCTAACTCTGGCCCATATCTTGACACTTGCTGTCGATCTCCAAGACTGGGACATGATTGACCCTACCTAGGTGCTGCATCAGAAAAGAATATGAGTGTATTAGATACCTAGCGCGGCATTCCAATGCCGACAAACACCTTGGGCTCTATCATAGAAGTCTGCAAACAACAGGTTCTGCAATGCCTTGTCGTAAAAGAAATGTTTCAGTACCTAGGTTTCGAACCAATCATACCTAGGTAGGCATTCCCGAGTCCGGCTGTCTTCAGATCCATTGACTGGGCCCTTCTTTCCACTACCACAGTGGTTGGGGGGGGTTCTCGATTGTGGGCGCAGCATCGCAAACGGCCCCTCATTGCCCAGTGTTTGACTGTTCCACCAAACCACGCCCAACATTTATTCGAAACCTTTCACCTACATCTGATCCCTCCGCCCACGCTTCTTTTACGTCGCACGTTGATTAATCCAAGCACCAGGGGAACAAATCAACCTCATCGACGATGGCTGGAGCCACGCGGGATAGGCGTTTGGTCAAGGAGCTGGGCAAGGTTGGTTCTTCGCATCCCTCGTCAACGCATCGTGGACTCGACTGACGCTCTTATGCCCCGCAGATTCATAAGGATGGGATGCCCCCCGGTATCACATTGATAGAACGCAACGACAGTGTTGCTGGCGACTGGTTTGTTGATATCCAGGTTCTCGACGACAATCCGCTTTACAAGAACCAAATCTACCGCCTCAAGTTCCATTTCCCCAAGATGTATCCCATAGGTCTGTGGTTGCACTGCTCGTACATGGTTCAAATGCTAACAATACTGTATAGAGCCCCCTGAGGTCACATTTGACAAGCAAACCGATCGGCCCATTCCTATGCATCCTCACATATACTCCAACGGCATCATCTGTCTCGATCTTTTAGGCCAACAGGGTTGGAGTCCGGTCCAGAGCGTTTCGAGCGTGTGCATGAGCATCCAAAGCATGTTGACAAGCAATGACAAAAATGAGCGACCTCCCGGCGATGAGGACTTTGTGCGAGGCAACAAGCAACGGCCCCGAGACATCGAGTTCCTCTACCACGATAACACCGTGTGAACGGGACGATGCGGACTCGTCATATGCAGACGAATGCCTGGGGGCTCGGGATATAAATAGCATTCATTTGGCGTTCAGGACACACCATCTGGTCGTGACAGGAGATCAGCGTATGGGATATAGCATTTGCATTTACCGACGGAACACAGTTGTTGAGATGCGCATTTGTATGCCTCGGGCTGAGGCTGGGCAGAAGCATATCTAGTACAGTCAAGTCAAACATGGCTGCTCAATGATGAATATCATGAAGGGGGCGGACGATGGTCTCCGCAGAGCACGATGGCCAGGTGTATGATATTTCTAGTTGCTTATGATACTTATGAGAATCTGCTAGACATTTGTTTCACTGCGAAGCCATGCATCTTTCATGTTTGTTGCTAATGGCTCGATCAAATGAAGCGAGAGGTTAATACATCCAGCGACAGAGGAAGACTGCCGTTTACTGTCACATATATCTGCTTGCTTACTACACTACAACTGTAGGTCCTGTAATTATCCATCACCTTGGACTCCTGACACTGTTCAAATCAGCAAGGTTGACCTGAACCAAGTTAGACCTGACCTGACCTGGCGGGACTTCAATTATGTGTCGGCCCCACCAATGAAGCGTCACTACAGTGGCTGGTGCAGCAGCTCTAGGATCCCCCACTTTACTGCCGTCATCCGCACGCAACCTTACCTAGGTACCTACCTAGGTACCGTACTCTAGTCTATAGGTAGGTACTCCATACTGTAGCTCCATCATTCCGCACCCTAACTAATCCATCCACTTGAGCCGAAGCTATCTCAATCACTGAGCTCACTCACCTTGCTCCCTCTTGGGTTTCTCTCGCCAAGCCCGCGCAATCGCGTTCAGCCGATCCCATGGCTCCCCGGATAGAATTCAACGTCGAGCAGCTTCGCAACAAGGCGAGAAAAGATCTGTTGTATCTCCTCGAAGGCGTACGTTCCCACCGCCTTGCCCCGCGAGCTTCACTCAAGCCGATAGCTATGTGATTCATGCACCCGGCGAACTCAACTCACACCTTACTTCTATGTAGGTTCGCGGGAAGAAGAATGTCGTTCTAGATCAAAGTCTCGTCGGCCCAATCGGGACTATAGTCAAGGTTGCCGTCCTGCAAGAATATGGAGTAGACAAGTTCTTCATTCTAGAGAATGACAATGCCGATACCAGCCAGCGCAATGTTGTCTTTATATCTCGTGGCGAATGTGGCCGCCATGCTGAAGCTATATCTGGTCAGTTACCATTATGCGATATCGAGGGTGCACTCTGACCCCCTCCTAGCTCAAATCAAGCGTATTCAGCGCGAAAGCCAAACCGGGCACGACTTTCACATATTCTGGGTCCCTCGCAGAACCCTCGTTTCCGACAAGCTTCTAGAAGAGGCTGGTGTGTTAGGCGATGTCAACATTGCGGAATTGCCACTATCCTTCTTCCCTCTGGAGAAGGATGTTCTGTCACTCGAGCTCGACGACTCATTCCGCGACCTGTACCTATCCAAAGACGTCACACCCAACTTCCTTATGGCCAAAGCCCTTATGGAGATTCAAAGAAACCATGGCCTATTCCCGCGAGTGATAGGGAAGGGTGATAACGCAAAGCGTGTTGCTGACTTGCTTTCTCGCATGCGCCAGGAGCTTCTTGCTGGTGAAGATACGTCAGAAGCCAACAAGATTGGGTTGACGCCTAGCACAACCAATGAGAGCGTAATTGTCATCGATCGCGAAGTCGACTTTGTTACACCCTTGCTCACTCAACTGACTTACGAGGGACTCATTGATGAAGTCTTTGAGATTCACAACAATCAGACCAAAGTCGACACAACAGTTGTCGGTGCACCGGCACAGGCCTCGGCAGCAACTTCACAAAGCAGAAAACGAACGGTCCAGTTGGACTCGAGCGACAAGCTTTACGAACAATTACGTGACGCCAACTTTGCGATCGTTGGAAGTCTCCTCAACAAAGTTGCGAGGCGGCTGCAGAAGGTGCAAAGTGATTATGAGAGTAAACACAAAACAAAGACTATTGCGGAACTAAAAGACTTTGTCAGTCAATTGCCAGGATACCAACAAGAGCAGCAGAGTGCGAGAATACACACAGGCCTCGCCGAGGAGATCATTAAACATACCCGGACAGACCAGTTCAAGGGTCTTTTGGAGGTTCAGCAAAATCTCGCTGCTGGGGCTGATCCGTCAAGCCAGTTCGATGGCATCGAAGAATTGATAGCGCGAGACGCTCCTATTGCGCAAA